TTTATGGTTATTAGTCTCAGCCGCACAAACATTGTATCTGTTTTATTTGCAAATGCGCAATTTTCATGGACATGCAACAGATCCCGCGCGCATCTTTCTGGCTGAAAAGTAATTTCTCGGGAAACTTAGAGCCTTGAAAAATGTTCGTGGGATTCTATAACATAATTATATTTCATTCATTCTATTCAATTCATTTTTAGTCGAGTCAAATGGAGAATGATAGATCATTGTAAATAAGGGTAATTGATTTTGAAAATCAAATAGGCCATCCATCTTTCCTATCGGGGAAAGCGTCAGTTTTGCCAAACTTCGGGGCTTCAAGCAAGCAGTCTCAATATTGGATTTTCTCGAGAGATAAAAAAGATGTTATGTGTTTTAACATAGTTGATATTACCTCATAGAGCTTTGGTTGACGTGGGTGCATGACTGTAACATCGTCTCCTCATCATGGCGTTCTCCAATGTTCCTCCTTTGGCGCGTGTCATTGATGCGCCTGCGCTGCATCAAAATTTTGGCGGGAAAAGTACAAAAAGGAAACAAAAACAAACGAAGTATCTTTTGTCTTGCCTAGATGAAAGGGGGGAGTGTACACGTGAATGTGAGATGCATTGATGCTCAAGCCCCGTATGATTTTCTATGGTTATATCATCACAGGTGTAGCGTTAAATGGGAACTCTGCAGATGGATTGATGATTTTACCAACATCGATATATTACGAACCGAGTGTCGGAGAACCTTCCACTGCGCAGCATTTTCCCACATGTTTTCTTTAGAAATTTTGTAAATATATAAGGTATTGTTTATGTGTCTTTAATTACAGTTCTGTTTCTCTAGTTTTCGCAGCCAACACAATCGTTGCTGAGGTAATGTGTAAACGTGTTGAACTAAATGCCATATGACTAATCCCATTAACATTATTCTTATTCCTGATTGGTTGTTTAGGTGTAATTTACTTAATCCAAAGTTGTTAATCAGTTGGATTTGTTGTTGATCGTAGTTGGTTGTTGAGTTGATGTAGGAAAGAATGCACGGTTTTATCGATTGATAATCTTACGGTTTACCCAGCCTGTTTATTGAGTTTTTCTCTCATTACGTGATAAAGAATCAAAGAATGCATGGGGTGGGATTCACCTCATAGTGGTCCACCGAGCTCGATCGCGTAAGAATGGCACAGGCTGAAGATTTGAGTCGGATGCGGAAAAGACGACGCACAATTCGTGGATTGGTAACGAAACTATTCACAAAGATTGACGAAGCCCTGGAGGATGTAGACGGTGGAGATTTGAGAAAGTTTAAACAATTTGAGATCGATTTGAAGGAGAAGCAAGGCAAGTTGAAAGAGCTCGACGAGAATATTTTAGAAAGTTTGTACGATGCCGAAGAAAATGATGAAACGTGCGATGAAGAAGCTGAAAGTGCCAGCGAGATTATGGAGAAAGTATTATTCAGATTGGTTTGCTTGGAGAAAGCATTAGATGACCGCTCCAGTTCAAAAGGATCTACGTCGATAGAACGAAGCGTTTCTCAAGAAAGTGTACTGTCTAGCGGATCGAAGTTTGGCGAAGCTCACGCAGCTCAAGCTCTAAACAGCTACAATGTCCGGGTGAAATTGCCTAAAATTAGCCTGCAGAAATTTTCTGGAAGGGCTCAAGATTGGCAGGAGTTCTGGGACTCCTTCAAAAGTGCAATTCATGATTCGCCCGCATTAGCGAAGGTTGACAAATTCAAATATTTGAAGTCGTATCTTGAGGAGCCAGTGCGGAAAGTCATTGGAGGCTTGTCATTAACGGACGCGGATTACGATTCTGCCATAGACATTTTGAAAAGTCGCTTTGCAAAGCCAACGGTGATAAAGAGAGCCCATATAAACGAGTTGCTAAACTTGTCGCCTGTTTTCAACGAGAAGAACACCCCAAGAATGAGACAGCTGCACGATGATATCGAGACCAATTTTCGCAGCCTCGAGGCTCTGGGTGTTGATCGTGATTCCTATTCAAGCATTGTTGTTCCGGTTTTGTTGGAGAAGATTCCAGAGGCTGTGCGGCTAAACATGTTTAGATTTGGTAGCAATCATTTAGAGTGGAGTATAGGGGATTTGTTACACGCGTTTGCTAAGGAGCTGGAGATAAGAGAAAGCCACGTACCAGTGCTCAAAGGGATTTCATATTCAGCAAATCCACAACGCGGAGATCGGCCTAGGCCGCAACATCACACGGAGAGAGTCAGCACAGCAAGTGCGCTGTTCATGGGAAAGGACAATTGTAATAAATGCCAGTTCTGTCTAGAATCGCACGAAGCTGCGAACTGTACGCGATACGTACACCCTGAAGAACGTAAAAGTGTTTTAATGAAATTTTCCAGGTGTTTTTTGTGCCTTAATAAAGGTCACAGGTCCTTTCAATGTAAGAGTAAGTTTCGTTGTAGGTATTGTAAAGGTAGACACCATTATTTGCTTTGCCAGGATAAGGAACCCACCGTTAAGGAAGCCCAACCCAGCAGCATGCCCCCACCTCTTAATCCCAATGCATCTACTTGGGTAGGATTAGGCACTACAAGTGCTAGTGGAGCTAAGGAAAGAGTGGCTTTGCAGACAGCACTAGCAGCAGTAGAAGGAAAAGAGGGGAGTAGAGTGAGAGTGCTGTATGATTCTGGGAGCCAAAAAACATTTGTGACTGAGAAGACTGTTGCTAGGCTGAAATTGAAGCCACTGAGGGAGGAGAAGCTTGGAGTCAAAACATTTGGGAGTAGTGAGCCAGAAATTGCGATGAGAAAGGTGTATGGTATCCCATTAGTTTCATTGAGTGGTGGTAAGAGCATTTTAATTGAAGCCTTTATGATTGATGAAATCAGCACTGTTGCTAACTACCATATCGATGTTATTAATAATGCATATCCACATTTGATGAATATTGAGTTTTCAGATTTTTCAGATGAAGACTACCTTGAGATTGATGTCTTGATCGGTGCCAACTACTTGTGGAGTTTTCAAGATGGCCATGTGATAAGAGGGGGGCAAAATCAGCCAGTGGCCATAAAAACAGCTCTTGGTTGGGTAATTTCTGGACCGTTAGATGGTAAGAATTCAGATCATTCTTCTTTTGTCAATTCTGTTTGCCATGTTATTGATCCCTTTCCATTGCCTGACAAGAATGCTTCTGATGTTGATAAAAATATGCATAAACTTTGGGATTTAGATACCTTAGGCATTCGTGTTGAAGATGAAGTGCATAAATCTGTCATTGACAATATATCTTTCACAGGTACACGGTATTCTGTTGGATTACCTTGGAAAGTAGGGCATGGTCCTGTGCCTGATAATTATAATAATGCATTTGTTAGGTTAAAGAGTCAGGTTAAGAAGTTGGAAAAATCCCCACAGGTTTTAGAGGAGTATCATAACATCATAAAGGAACAGGAGAAAGCAGGTATAATTGAGCAGGTTTCTGGCTCTAATTTAAGCTCTAAGGTGTCATATTTACCACATCGTGCTGTCATACGTAGTGATGCAGAAACTACTAAAGTTAGAATTGTGTATGATGCTTCATGTTCTGATCGGAAAACAGGTGTTTCGTTGAATGATTGCCTTCATGTGGGACCCCCACTTACCCCTTTGATGTTTGACATGCTTATTAGATTCCGTGAAAAGCCCATTGTTTTAGTAGGGGATATTGAGAAGGCATTTTTGAACATAGAGGTAGATCTCACTGATTGTGATGTCCTACGCTTTCTATGGATAAAGGATATTAATGCAGAGAATCCAGAAATTGTCACCTACAGGTTTAACAGGGTTGTTTTTGGAGTGAATTCGTCACCATTTTTGTTAAATGCTGTACTCCAATTTCACATAAATAGGTACAGGGAAATAGACCCTAAATTTGGCGAATGTATGTCTAAGGGATTCTTTGTAGATGACCTTGTAACTACACACACTGACGTAAATGAAGCCTTTTCGCTCTTTATGAAAGCCAAGGAAAGAATGAGCGAAGGTGGTTTCAAGCTCAGAAAGTGGAAAACGAATGATAGGTCACTTGCTTATAAGATTAATGAAGATGAGATAGAAAGTAAGACAGGAACTAAGTTGGCCAGAAATGAAGACAGTTCTAAAACTAAAGTTTTAGGTTTAGCATGGGATAAGGATCAAGACTTACTTGAATTTAATCTTGACAAGGTTGCAGAAGGTGAAGGACAGGTTACCAAGAGGTATATATTGAGTAGAATAGCTGCTTTATTTGATCCCTTAGGTTTGATCAGCCCAGTCACAGTGACAGCCAAAGTCCTTTTCCAGGATTTATGTCTTGAAAAGTTAGGATGGGATGACCCTTTACCTAAGGACAAGCTTTTAAGATGGGAGAAGTGGTTGAAAGGTCTCAAAGACATACAGGTCATTACAACCCCACGGTGTATGCTAGATGGTTTAGAAGGTCAAATCCTTAAGACAAGTTTGCACGGGTTTGGTGATGCAAGTAAAAAGGCATATTGTGCTACTGTATATCTTGTGTGTGAGACAACGGAAGGCATCTATTCTAAACTCATTAGTTCTAAGACAAGGATAGCACCCCTTAAAAGTTTAACAATTCCCAGGTTAGAACTGATGGCTGCTAGAATTCTGGTTAACCTAATTGACACTGTTAAAAATGCACTTAGTTCAGATACCAAAATTGATGAGGTTAAGTACTGGACAGACAGTATCGCTGTGTTGTATTGGATTCAAAATAAGTGTGATTGGAAGCCCTTTGTGCAACACAGGGTAAACGAAATCCTTACGCAATCTAGGAAGGAAGACTGGGGTCATGTTGTAGGGCTTGAAAACCCAGCGGACATAGGGTCAAGGGGAGCCTCTCCGAGTCAGCTTGTTGGAAATAATTTATGGTGGGGAGGTCCTAATTGGCTAAAGGGAGGAAAAGAAAGTTGGCCTCAGGCTCTTCCTGTAGAAGAATCTATTGAAGTAAAGGAGGAAATGAAAGGGCAGGTTGTTTTAACATCCACAGTAGAATCTATTAACACAGTTGGCTCAGTTATTGATATTAACAGACATAGTTCTTTGGGCAAACTACTTAGAGTTACTGCCTTTGTAAAGAGATTTATTTCAAATTTAAAGAAAAAGAAAGAGGGGGCAGTAGTTATCACAGAGAATTTGGATGCAGAAGATATTCAGAATGCTGAGAAAGAATGGATTAAGGATGCTCAAGTTTATTTGATGGGACAGTCTGAGTATCTCAAGTATAAAGAACAATTGGGTGTAGTAAGTAATGGGGAGTTTTTGGTATGCCAGGGGAGAATGGAATTTTCTGATTTAGTTGAAACAGCTAAGAAACCTATTTTGTTACCCAAAGGGCACAAATTTACTGATTTTGTCATTTCTGATTGTCATGAAAGGGTCCATCATTGTAAAGAGAAGTCTACACTTGCAGAGCTACGTACAAGGTTTTGGATCCCTAAAGGTAGACAGTATGTAAAAAGGGTAATCAGAAATTGCTTTATCTGTAAAAGGTTGGAAGGTAGGCCATTCAATGCACCTCAAATTGCTCCATTGCCCAGCTTTAGGGTTACAGAGGCCCCACCCTTTAGCAGAATTGGGGTTGATTTTGCTGGTCCTTTGTTTTGCAAGACTTCAAATAACAAGACCATGAAGGTATACATTGTCTTGTATACATGTTGTGTAACACGCGCCATTCACTTGGATTTGGTACATAGTCTAGATGCATTAACTTTTTTAAACTCTTTCAGGCGTTTTACTTCAAGGCGAGGTACACCAACTTTAGTTGTATCAGACAATGCAAAGAACTTTAAAGCTACCGCCTCATTGTTGAGAAAATTTTTTATGAGTGACAGTGTAACTAACTTTATGAGATCAAGAAGAATCTCATGGAGATTTAATCTCCCAAGGTGCCCCTGGGCAGGGGGTATGTTCGAGCGGATGGTACAAAGTGTAAAAAGGTGTTTAAGAAAGGTCTTAGGAAATGCAAGACTAACTTCTGAAGAGCTGCATACAGTTATTGTTGAGATTGAATGTACTCTCAATTCCAGGCCACTCACTTACCAATATGAAACTGAGGAAGTGTTAACCCCATCACATTTATTGTATGGACATAGGTTGTCACCTTTTGCCTTGCAAATGTCTTTAGACATTCCTAACTCTGAAATTAATAATTCTAAACTAATTAAACGGTTTTTATTTCTGCAGAAGAAGCTTGCCCATTTTTGGAATCGATGGAAATCAGAGTATCTTGCTGACTTAAGAGAACAGCATAAGCTGAGCAAGACTTATTCAAACTCTATTTCAGAGGGTGATTTTGTTCTAGTGCAGGATGAGCAGACAAAGCGTGGACAATGGAAAATGGGAATCATTCAGAGTTTTATTAAAGGCAGAGATGGAAACATTAGAGGGGTAAACATTCGTATGAGTGGTAAGGGTAAGTCACACCTTTGTACAAGACCTTTACAAAAAGTTTTTCCTTTGGAAATCTCATGTAGCAAGGATACTGACAAAAAAGAGGGTAAAGCTGAGAACAAGGATGTGGACAAAGAAGTGAGAGAGGAAGGTACTGAAGGAAATGTGGCTGAAGAGAATATTGATTTGGAGAATGTGAGAAATCGGGGGGTATACCCTAAACGTGCTGCAGCCAGGGATGCACAGTGGAAGACAAGACTTATGCTTGATCAGTGGTGATCAAGGAGGGGGGTGTGTCGGAGAACCTTCCACTGCGCAGCATTTTCCCACATGTTTTCTTTAGAAATTTTGTAAATATATAAGGTATTGTTTATGTGTCATTAATTACAGTTCTGTTTCTCTAGTTTTCGCAGCCAACACAATCGTTGCTGAGGTAATGTGTAAACGTGTTGAGCTAATTGCCATATGACTAATCCCATTAACCTTATTCTTATTCCTGATTGGTTGTTTAGGTGTAATTTACTTAATCCAAAGTTGTTAATCAGTTGGATTTGTTGTTGATCGTAGTTGGTTGTTGAGTTGATGTAGGAAAGAATGCACGGTTTTATCGATTGATAATCTTACGGTTTACCCAGCCTGTTTATTGAGTTTTTCTCTCATTACGTGATAAAGAATCAAAGAATGCATGGGGTGGGATTCACCTCAAGTAGCAAGGCGTTTATCAAAAACAACGTGAATGCTGATGGAGGGGGGCGGTGTGCAAAATACACGACTGGGCTCCATATGTTATAAAGGGGAAGCCCCTTAGTCAACAGCATCCGTGTCCGGAGCTGCCTTTCCTAACCCCTTACAATAAAGAGCTCGTACTTCTACCTCGTGAATTACCGCAGATATGTCCATTGTTTGTATTTTTGTTTCCAACTTTAAAGCCAAAGAACGTTTTCGGTTCCCCCATCTTCCTTCCACTGTTAAAATCGGGACTGTTCAGAAATGCTAAATTGTCAAACCGTTTCCACAAGGTGTAAAACGCATCTTCAACATTTAAACCAGTTTTTGCTGAAACCTCCATGAAAGGGGCTTTTGCTTCAACAGCCAATTGAAGTCCTTTTTCGAATGAAACTTTCCTGTCTTCCACTTTATCAGCTTTGTTTCCAACAATCACGATCGGAATTCGCTCGCCATCCTTGATTTGACACACCTCATTTACTAGTCTATGTGCACACTCGAAAGACTTTTCAGAATCTACTGAGTACACGATTAAAAACGCATCAGCACTTGATATCGTCACGCGATGCATTGCGGGGAAGTCCATTGACCCACACGTGTCATATATTTTCAAGTCCAGTTCAGAAGTGTCCCAAAGGCTTTTTCTTCTTCTTGTTCTGTTTTCATACATATCACTGACTGTTGGTCTGTAAGCCTCTGAAAATTCGTCTTTTAACCATTTTTGCAAAATTGCACTTTTACCTACAGCAGCATCTCCCAGAACTGCAACATCCAATTTGTATTTTTTCATGTCACTGTTCTGATCCAAGCGCCTCTCGAAAAACGGTTTATTTCTCATCTATTAAAAGTGTTTGCCCGTCGAGTCGCCTAACGCGATTCTGGTAGTTTGCTTTGAATAAATATACACGTAGCTTTGTGTCCCACGATGTGATCCGTTTGCTTCGGAGAGATTTCTTTTACTCCTCAAATCTGAATAGCAATCTTCTTTATATCCCATTACGCCAACGCTGCTTATCTTGGCTTTGACAAGCCAGGACAGGTATGCATTCTGGTGCCCGATTGTTGACACCAACGCACGCGGCCTTCAAGCTCCGGTTTCTGTTTGATTAACCTCTGACCGACAAATGAACGAGGAAGTTCAAAGGGAATCATCCTCTAGCCCCTGTCATAGTCTGCAGAATGAATCTTAGAGGAAAATAATAGAAATTCGATTTTCCATCGAAATTGAAACTTGCAAGGAGTATAAAAAGGTTATGGACGGTGTCCTGAACAGGCATTCATTAGTTCGCAAAAAAACCAAGGAAATAAGTTGGATACAACTTCATTAACATTTTGGTACACTACGTACTTTTTTATAAAATATGGTCTATAAGAATATTAAGGCTCAAATTCGCTGAAATTTAAGATTAATGCAAGGCTCAAGCTTCAACAACGATTAAACTTTTGATTATTTGATTTTTTTGGAAAGCAAAGCAAATGCGAGTTTCACGCTATGTAGGCTACTGTGTGTTATAGAATAGATGTATCTAGCCTTGGATTCATTATCACTTCAGACTTCAATGCATCCCAATTACATCTTGTGAAGCCTAGAAGTAATTTTAAAACAATCTTCGGATCCAAATTTCCAAAAGAATTAAGAACATTGATGCTCAGCAAAAAATTAAGTGTTATTATAAAAAAGTATGTATTGAGTGGGAGGGAGGGGAATTCGAGTGCCTTTCTATTCTGTATGGTGAAGTGCCACGTGTAAAAGAATTAGTAAACTAAACCAAGCAGTATGCATTTTTTGCAAGCCTGTTCTGTCAGTTTTAGACCTAACCATTGAATATATCACTAAAAACTGTGTATTCCTTCCCTTTTTTATATAGGAACAAGGTTTATCGAGTTTTAAGCTGGCTTGCTGTCACGTCTTTTCTGTTGAATGTGTAGATGATCAGTGACATTTGGGTCAGTGGCAGATTTAGGGGGGAGGGGGCGTAGCTAGTGGCAGTTGCCCTTCCCTCGACGAGTTGAAGCAAGTCTGGTGCCCCTTTTTTGGAAATTGTGCGCCCCTTTTGAAGAATGAGAATCAGGTGAAAAAGTTTCTGAGACCGATAGGTTAATTTGCTTCAAGGATTTCCTCAAAGTTATGTTGTTTATTCCGAAAATGAATCTGAAATTCTTGTATACAGCGCACTCTCGTCATCAATTTTTGAATATTTTTCAGCGCCCCCACTACCAACTGCCCCTGCTTCAAGTTTTTTCTGGATCCGCCCCTGATTTGGGTAGCAATTTAAGAAAACAGCTTCAATTGTCCAAATTCCAAAGGAAACACAGCGAGTTTTTTTTGTTTATAACAAAGATTTGTACATCGTTGGTTACACCCAAAATTATTTTAGACCTACCCACAATAAGATGAGATGCTCTATAGTCAAGAAACATAATAGAGGTATATCTTACAAGTTGTTTTTTATTTTTTCAGCTTTGTATATATTGTGGAATTTTGTCCTGGTAGTAGCTTTTCAGCAGGATAAAGTTACAATTCTATTAGTAGGGAAGAAAGATGGTTGTCCAGACACAGGTACCCTGGGTACCAGACTCACTATATTTATTTTATACATAGTGAGTCTGGTACCCAGGCTAAGACACAGGGTGTATATTCGAGCAATATCACATGACAATTACATCACTTCACTACGATTCCATCACCGCTTGTAAATAGGTATTTTTGTGCATTACGTGTATGTATTTGATGTTTCTGTTCAGTGTATAGAGAGTAAGGATTTACTCGTATTAGTAGGATTATTGCCATCATTGTTGGTGCAAGGAGGTAGTATTGAGGGGTTATCCCCCCACATTCTTCCAACTAATGATAAAATTTTTGATAAAATTAATAAAACTGCCTTTTGTAGGGGCAAGATAAAATTAGGAACTAGTTCTTTATTTCATCTTGGTAGTGGCAAGTCATTATTTTCAAAACTTGTGTAAGAAAAGTACCCTTGGTTCAAAGTTCTGAAGTATGGCAAAAGGGTTTGGTCCAGTCGGTCAGGCCCAATACCCTCCCTTTCTGCAGCAACTGGCGCTACCATCACCGTTGCCTGCAGTATTCTGGTGTGTTTCTGCCTATTTGCACCCATGTCTTGTAAAACTGTGGACGAAAATATTTTCAAACCGGGGCATTAGCTGTCCGGATCCAATAAAACGACAAGTTTGAAAAATAAACGGCCAAGTTTGAAATTTCGTCTACAAAACGCTCCTGGATGGCGAAAATCCTGTCCCCTCTTAGCTATATTCTTGCAGCCTGGCTACCAGGCGCGTCACATATAAATGGCCTTTAAATATTCAAAGAGCCTTAAAGATTAAAGAAAGTAAATCTTCAACGTTAAAATGAATTGCTGCGTGATCCAGTTTTCTTGAAGTCATTTAGAAGTTTTGAGTGGGCTGGGCTAGGTTAGGTATGTAGAAAACTTTTTATCATCTTTCAAGTATCAAGTGACAAAATGTGTTTCTAGAAACCAAATAGTTTTGTAAGTTCTGTTGAACTTTAACTTCTATTGGTAGTAACGCTATTATTCATCAAGGAAAAACTTACTGAGGCTTCATACTAGAATCGGCTTTTGCTCAATTTCATCTGACTGTACACCCTCGAAACCGGTTTCATATTCAACTCTAACAGTTTCTATATTGATTTAAAAAGGTTTTAGTAACCTTTTCAAAACCATTGAAAGAAATTGGGTCATTAACAGATGAACAGATTGGGAATGGAGGTTTAATAGGCGCATAGTATTTTCAAAATTCACGATACCCTGGCCTTTCTTCTAGTCAAAAAGCTTCCTTTTTGGACTCTTTTGCAGTGCTGCACCCTTTATATCCATTTTTAGAAACGTTATTCGGGCCACTTTTGTTGACAGTTGGGGGGTAATAACCCCATTGGCACTGCTTCAGGTACGACGCAATTGAGCAACAATGTTCCCAACACCTAGGCCTACCGATCATTCTAAGATGAAGTGCGTTTGTGCCAGGACCATTTTTAGCAAGCAAAGCGACCCTTTAATACACTTTCATGGTAATATCGCTGGCTTAAAATGAGTTTAATCCCAACAAATTCACGGAGCCCTGATTAGGAGTATAGGTTATTTTTTTAATTGCGGGTCTGTACATGTTATCTTACGTTCTTGTGATTACATTGTTAAAAAATGCATCTGCATTATTTGTAAAGGAATTCCCAGCAAATTTAATTCCATTGAAAAGGCTTTTCAAAAGCTTTACCATTTTGAGGGCTGGATGGAGGATCTCAAATTTATTTAGTTACATCCCACATGTGAACAAGGTTCAGGTGATATCATCTAACAAATTAAAAACATTAACATAGTGCCACAAATGCTTCGTCATTCAAGAGAATGAGAATGTATTCGCTGAAATGAGCCGCATTGTGACCGTTTTGCGTTGGATGCCCATTATGGGCTTTGAGTGGGCTTCTTAACTTATATCACAGATTTAAGTACCATTTTTTTGAAATAAAAACCGAGTCTCTAATGAGCGCCTCCTTTTTCAACTAAAATTTGAAAAAATGTCCCCTCTCAATATCTTCTTTATCTAAAAATTGAGCACCACCAACAGCGATTAAGCATCTGCGTGACCCTTAATGATTTATTTCTTTTTGGTAGGTGCGGACCTCTTTGGGCTACTTTCAGTGCGGGGACTGGGGGCAATGGCTCCCTAGACCTTCTCAAACCACCAATATGTCAAGTTTACGCTCCATTATCATGAGACAATCAATTATAGTACAAATATTTTTCAATTTCTTTATTGCATTTTCTTTCTTGAAAAATCAAGATTTTTAATGTCCTATTTCCGTTACAGGCTGAGATTCAACAAATCTCAAGAAATGAAATACTAGCAAAAATTAAAAATTAAAAAAAAAATAGACCATAAACAATTAAACAGATATGATATAATAAAATCAGTTCAACTACATCGTTATCAGTTTCAAATAAGAAACAACACGAACAACCCATGAAGCTGAAATTATGCGAAAAAAAAAATAGAAATGTTGTAACCTGTCATGATTTCAGGATTGCACGATAAAGAGGGCAAGAATTGAATTTTGATAACACAACAAAAAAAACAACTTCTTATATATAATACTTAGAGAGTACGGTTACAGCCTTTTTCCTTCCAAAAATCTCATGTCAGCATGTATGCTGATGACACAGCCATTTCCCTCTCTTCAAAAAGTATTGGTGACCTTCAAAATGACCTAAACTTAGATCTTTTGAAACTACAAGATTGGCTGCATGCAAATAAACTTTCCCTGAACGTAGTGAAAACGCAGTCACTTGTAATAGGCTCTGGTCCAAACATCCGTAAGATCGAAAGCCAGCCTGATGCTCCACCATCTTTTTCTTTTTCAATAGGTGATCAGAACATTGAAATGATTACCAACACAAGATACTTAGGTGTTCAGATAGACAGTAAGTTCAACTGTGACAAGCATATCGATACTATCAAGACCAAGGCTAATCGAGCCCTTGGACTTATTAAGTATTCTAAGAAATATCTTTCATCTGACATACTCAACAAAATGTATAGAGGAATTGTTGAGCCCCATTTGAGCTACTGTTGTTCCGTTATGGGTTGCTGTTATGAATCAAAGCTTGACGTGTTGCAAAAAATCGAAAATAGAGCTGCCAGAATTGTCACTAGCAGCCCATAAGATGCATCTGCTGCTCCGATAATTCAGAATCTTGGCTGGTTAACTATCAGTTATCTTGTAAGAAAGGAGACAGCCACGCTAACTTACAAATCTCTAAATCTGCTTGCACCAGACTACTTGAGAAAATTATAGAGAACGGTTTCTGCGTCCATCAGAAACTGATCTTAAGATACCGCTGCTAAAAACGATAAATGGCCAAAAGGCTTTTTCTTATCGCGGTCCAAAACTGTGAAACAGTCTAGAAAGGGCTACCAAATTGGCCCCCTCCCTGAAAACCTTCAAAGGTAAATTTCTTTTGTTATTAGTATTATAAAATATTTATTAGCGCTTATTTTAATCTTTTAAACAGGT